GGGGGGGGAGGGGGGGGGGTCACAGAAGCAAGGCGGGAAATAAAACGATGGGAGGCGAGCGCCACTTAGGCCGACACGCACTCTGTCCCCCTTCTCCTCCTCCCCCACCTGACTCCCCTGGGTGTAAGCAACGCGATCGGCTGGAGGTGAAGAGTCGCACCCGTTCAGATGGTCATTTTATTGACGGCCCCTGGGTGAAATTACAAAGGGGGAAGGGGGAACTTACTGCACGCTCGGCCCATTGCCTCACGTAGCAGCCTGATAGGATATGCACCTCCAGATTGAATGCCCAGAATGCTTCAGCCGCTTGTAAACTTTAAACGTCTCGCCCTTTTCGTCAAGATTTCAGAAACTTTTATGTATAACAATGATATGGCTTCATTCCCAAACAGTTGTGGTGTGAGGTGAGTCTGTACCGGCAATTGGAGGTATATTTGTAGACGCGACTTGTCAATAGTGCTCAACTCAATCGGGTTTACAAAACTGCTCTCTCGACTCCTCGTTCGTGGCGAGCTCTACATACTTCAGTTGCCAGATCTTTCAACAGTCTGATTACGGCCTGCTAGTACACAAGTAGTCAAGCCACCAACACAAGGTAACCCTTTGAAGCCTATTTTCGTAGAACAATTTGTGTCAGCTTAAATGTGAAATTGTCCACACAAAATATAGCAAACAAATGGGCCAAAATTATCACATTCAAATTTTACTGTAAGCGGGCTACCTGCGATACGCCCACCGCCTGCACCCTCACTTTTGGAGGGTCTCGAGTTATATAAATTTCATCTTTGAAATGCTATCGTCCCCTGAGGAGCGAGAGGTTGTGTAAATCAACAGAAAAGTGAAGACCTTACGTTGCTGCTTGCCCCCCCCCCCCCACACACTTCTCCCACCAATACCAATACCTATTAAGGCAACATAAACTAAGAATCGACCGTAAAACTCACGCGCCCACCGTCAATCAATCGCAGTCACACTGTCATCGGGCTCGATGCAACGGAGGGGAGGCGGTAATCGGGTGGCAAAGAGACGACTTAATAGCGAATAGAGCGTGCGATGTGTGCAAACACGAAACACGTAATAATGCGAGTCGACAACAAAAGGGGATCCTATCCTCAGGTATATACTCCCTGTGGCACGGGGCACCCCTCGCTGCTCACTTGGGCTCGCCAAAACATTTTTGCAAGCAGGTCTCCCTTTGTTGTTGTTGCATCACACACACACACACATGCACACAGTAGGGTAAGTGCGGAAGGGTCGGCCTATGACAGGCGCCCCCTCCTTCCTGCCTGGAGCGTGCCGCCGCCGCCCCGGCACCGCCCTCCCTCACTTTGCACCTTTTTTCGCAAGCCATTTGCCGACAGTTTCATTCATTCCCGACGTGCGCCAAACCTGATTCACCCAAGAAAAGGGAGGGAGGGGGGATGACGCCAAGGAGTAGGCCGGCCGGCACACAGAGCGGGTCTAGAACCGATTTGCATTCGAATTGTTACGATTTCCCTCGAAGGTTGGGACGGCCGCGTCGTCCTGTCGCGTCCTGTCCCTGGCCCCGTCAAACCTTTATCCTTTTTCTGTCCGTATCGCTTGCCCCGGGACAAGCAGGACGGCCTCTCCCCTCCTCAACGACGCGCCTGCGACGTTCGGTCGTCAAATAAAACACTCGATAAGAAGGAAGGAGGGAGGGAGAGAAAAAAAATAATAAGAAATGTTCCATTTTAATCCCCTGTGCTGTTGGAACGGACCGGGCCGGCTTGTCTGCCGGACAGGTTGAACCTGTTGGTCCGGGATGGCCGCCGCCCCGCCCCGCCCCGCCAGGCCGCCGCTCTGCCGCCGTATCAGTAAATTCCAACTCGATATTAGAGGTGGACAGATTCAATAGGTTTTATGGGCGGGCGGCCTGTTACGTGATCCAGCCAGCCCAACCCTCGCACACACACGCACACAGGTGTCGGGGAGCCCTCTGCCAGCCCTCTGCAGGTAGTGAGTGAGGTGGTAGGTAGGTACCCTGGGGGTCGGGCGGTTTGCTTCCCACACGAGGGCTGAGGAGTCTGGTACACTGTTTTGAGAGGCAGTACACCACGAGCGACACTGATAGGCGCTAGGCAGCGATAGCAGCTCATGCTCATGGCAAAAGTCTCACAATCGGTACGAAACACTCCGTAAGGACGACTATATACTGCTGAGATCCTCTCTCGTCCTCGAGCGAGGGGGGGGGGGCAACTCCGTGAATTATGTGTACACCTGCCTAATCATCAGGATAATAACTAATCGAAATCAACGTAAATCGCTTAGACTAAGCGGGGAACTAGTAGAGCGGGTACAGATTAGTCAAAGTAAGCGGGGAATCGAGTATTTCGGAAATCATGTGTACACATCAAAAGGGAGTTATTGCACCCTCCTCGTCCTCGAGTTAGTGATCGCTGTGGGCCTGTTTCCCTCCACCTCCTGAACAGCACATGACCGGAAGCAGAATGCCGGATCTGGCGGCGCAAGGCGCAAAGGTCTGATCCGGATCTGGCCGGCTGCATTGTGGTCCACAGCTGAGCCGGAGGCCTCTCCCCTCCCCACCCGCCTCCTCCTGCCCTTCCGACCTCCCCCTCTGGAGGCAGAGCATAGCGCGGCTGCGGGAGAAAAAATAAAAATAAAAAAAATATGACGATCTAAACAATGAGAGGGCAACGCAGGAGGAGGGAAGACACATGGGCAGGCTCTGCGGCAGCAGCACCAGGATTCCTGGGGAGCGGCCCAACCCTTTGCCCCGCGGCCTGGTGGCGTGGCGTGGCGTGGGGCGGCCGGGAGGGAGCCGGGCTACTGCACACCTCCACGACACGGCCGCCGAGACAGACATCCGATACTCGGTCCGACGGGGCAGCTCGACAGCAAGGTAAGAAAGAAGGAATAGGCCAACTCGTTGTCGTTGTCTGCCCCTCCTAATGGAGCTTGGTAGGGGATAAAGCGCTCCGGCCAGACCAGATCCAGCAGACCCCTTTCGGGTGGCGACGCCCTGGCGACGCTGCCACGGGTCAGGTGCAGGGGCCCAGTTTGAGATTTTATGTGTCTGCCCTCCCCCCCCACACACACATACACACAGCATGGCATGGGGTCCTCGGGGGAGCCTCCTACTGCCCGAGGGGGGCCGTCCTAAACCGACCTCTTCTCCAACTTCAAAAAGGATTTGGAAACGACGACTCGTCCAACTGAACCTGAGCCGCACCTTCGAATCGGGTCACGCCGTACGGCCGTGTCCGATTAGGCCGACGAGCTCAGCGCTGTCAGCGCACTTTTAAAAGTTTTACAAAGCACTGCATGAAAACAAAAGCATCGGAGACTACGAAGCGTTGCTTGGAAATTACAAAAAAAAAGGAAAAAAGATTCACTTTGTGTCACAATGCTTTCATTTTCTTTGTCATACAAAGCAATGCATCGTAGACTTTTCCTCGTGCGAGCCGCGCAGTGCAGCGCCCAGAGGCGGGGAACCCGTGCGGTACCCGGGGTCACGTGAGGGCAGCTGCGCTGGCGTTCAATCAGCGCGCACAGCATATTCGGTGGGCGCGGCGCTCTGAGGCCATCCCGGGCCATCCATCACCAGCAGCCTCCAGCCACGCCTCTGGCCTCCATCCCTCACCTGGCCGGCGGCGTGTCCCTGCCCACCTCGTCGGACTACCAGCACATACAGGGGGCCACCACCAGCACATACGGGGCCCCACCAGCACATACGGGGCCCCACCAGCGCATACGGGGCCTCCGCCAGCACATACGGGGCCCCACCAGCACATATTGGGCTCCACCATCACATACGGTACCCCACCAGTACATACTGGGCCCCACCAGTACATACGGGATACGGGGCCCCAGCAGCACATACGGGGGGCCGCCACCAGCACATACGGGGCCCCACCAGTACATACCGGGCCCCAGTACATGCTGAGATCCCACCAGTACATCGCCTCGCAAGGCAGTACAGAGCCCCACCAGAGGACGTCCGCGCCACCTACAGGTCGCCTACAGAACACACGGCCCCGCCAGTACAAGAAGAACCCACCAGAGCCTCTCGCCAGATTTACATTAATGAACGGTTCAGGTCAGGCCGGGCCGGAGCAGAAGGAAATCATCCATCGGCTATAATTTCCAAAACCTCTCCGGTCGTTGTATAATCGCGCAGAAGAAACAATCAACATAACTCAGGAGGCCGGCGGGGCCCCACCGCGGTGCCGCGCCGTCAGGGGGACCGTGATGGGGACCGTGAGGGAGCGCCTAACAAGAAAACGCTTCCCTCCTTTTATTTAAATAATGAAAGAAAGACGCGCGGGCACGCTGCCTGCGAGGCGCGCGGTCGCGACGGCGATGGTGACACACGGGCAGGACGCCCGCCGAGGAGAGAGAGAGAGAGATGGAATGTGGAACTGTGCCGCGTCATCCCGCTCCGGTGCCCTCATGGGGAGACTGATTGCCCGGTGATTGAGCGATCTCCCCGCGGGTCAAGTGTCACTCCGCGGCGTGGCGGGGCGTAGCGTGGCATTCCTGCCCCACCAGCCGCGTCAGCGACATCCGCGGCCCGCCGCCACGGCCTCGGGAGCAGAGTGGTGTGTAATATCCTGTCTGCCGCGAAACGGAAAATCCGCACCGTCGGCGAGTCGCTTATCACTGTGCCGCGCGCGTCGTTTCCGGAAGGCGGAGGACGGCGGGGCGCGGCGGGGCGAGGGAAAGGGCAGTG